TAGTGGGTTCTGAAAGAAGGAAAAATATTTTATTAGGTGATTCCCATGGTTCAGTTTGTCTACTGCAGAAAATATCAATTATTTCAATACTTGTAGAACTTCCTTTGTTAGCTCATAAACAAATGAAATAAATTTATGAGTTGGCTTTTGACATCACTAAGTCTTTAGCCCATGTCGGTAAACAAAACCTCTTTGGTCATTATAAATAATTCATGTGTGTCAGTCAAAGACCAGTTGAACTACCAACAAACAAAACTTGTATTCTCAGGATAATCTTAGAACATTCCAGAAATAGATGTAATTGTATTTTCTAAGTAGTAAAAAGACTAGAGAAGCCATGTGAAGTTTTTCTTTTTTTTCTAAACATGTCACATTGGTGAAGTCTTTCTTTTTGTTCTAGACTGCCAGTTCTAGTTTATGTATGAAATATAGCTTTAATATTTTGTATTCTAACAGAAGTTGTTAAGGTGAATTAATTTTTTTTACCAACAATTGTGCTAGCTGCTTCTATAATTATGGTTAATAAAAATAAATGTAGCTTGTTTTAATATTCATATTTATTTCATGTTGGTGCAATAACAAGATTATATAAGTAACAATATTAATTTTTGTAAATCGGCTGTAGTTTCTTTGATCTAAAGAAACAATGAATCTGATTTGTTACATGATAAATAATATATTATTAGATAAATATAGATTTGTTTTATTTACTTAGAAAGTTTCTGCAATCCTGATGTTTTACTGTCATACTCTTGTTAGAAGGAAAATATGATTTACCTTTTTTCTGTTTCATCTCTCTCAAAAAAAATCTTGTTATTAATAGGTTTTTATTAAGTTGGTACCATTTGAGATTCTGTTTTAATGCTTCAGGATAGTATAAGGAAGGTCAATGAAATTTGTAAAGATTCATTTTAATCCATTCATTATCAGGAAATAAATACGCTATCATACTTTTTGTTTATGGTGGATTAATTAAATGCTTGTACATAAGAACGATGATAATTTTATTGTGTCAGTTGGCTGTCACCATTATTAGTTGGTCAAGGTGTATTGATAAAACTTTCATGTAATCAAGATCAGTTGGCACAGGAATGCTATCTCAAATGTTTTTTTTATTGTTTTATCTACATTAATAAGTTTCTAATTTTTTAATTTTATTTCTTTTATAACAATAAATAAAAAAACAAGAAATTTGGTACATAGATGTGGCCTAAGGTATTCTGCCATAAAAGTGGCAAGAGCTTATAAGCCTACTTTTTGTGACAGTGGTGATTGTGAAGAACGTTTTTTAGTTTGTTCAAATACAATTTATAACACAAGATATTAACATGCACAAAAAGTAAAATGTTGAAAAAACTGGTTTTCTAACTAAGCTAAAAATGTGTTAAATAAATTCCTTTAACTCGTTGTGATAATCTGAAGCCAAATAATTCAGAATGAACTAGACTATCGAGAATTCAGGAAATTAAAAGTTCTCTTTCTTTTCCTTATAAATAATCCAATAGAAAATGTTAATAAGAATTAGAGATATTTTTTGAAAGATAGGACATGACAGGAGGGTGTGTACATAGGCTTGACTTTCTTGTTAATATCTCAATAACGCAAGAAGATTGGAGGATACAAGATTACATTATGGCTTAACAATATCTATAAGTGTGTAATTTGTTACAAACTCATGTAGGGATAGAAATAAAATGGGCAATTTGGAACAAAGAAATGTCTTGTGTTACAGAAAAGTGAAACTTGAGAATTATTTTAATGTTTTGATGCCAACTTTGACATAATATAAAAGGTTTTGATGTACACACTTTTACTTGTAGTGTTAAACTTGTTTAATGTTATATGTGGTCGACCAAAATTGGAGTCTTGTAATAGTTTTTATTTACAAATCTCTTCTGATAATTTCTAAAGTGCTGCTATGCATACTACCAGACTGAAGATATTGTTTATCTAGATCCAAAAGGATTTAATCTTGACAACCAGCTGGAGGTGGATTCTCTATAATATGGAATTGAAAATAAAGATAATTATAAAAATAAAATCAATTTTGAGTATATATAATAATATGGAAATAAAATACTGACAAAAAATATAGCTTTTTAAATGAGAAACTTTTTTTTTTCTACACACAGTAAACTTAAATTCTGAAATTAATGCAATTTTAGAAACTAAACTCAATTTCATATATAAAATCTGTAACTCTGAGCTTGTTCTAAATCCAATATAGCTGTGGGAAGGACTCATGAAAATATCAGAACACATGTACTTGGCTAACCATGACACTTTTACAACAACATCACAAAAAAACTAGTTACACTGACTGCTCAACTTATAGTGAAACTAACATCTGTAAAGAACAGTTACACTGACTGCTAAACTTATAGTGAAACTAACACCAGTAAAGACCACTTATACTGACTGCTAAACTTATAGTGAAACTAACATCGGGAAAGACCATTTACACTGACTGCTCAACTTATAGTGAAACTAACACCTGTAAAAACCACTTACATTGACTACTTAACTTATAGTGAAACTAACACCAGTAAAGACCACTTACACTGACTGCTCAACTTATAGTGAAACTAACACCAGTAAAAACCATTTACACTGACTGCTAAACTTATAGTGAAACTAACACCAGTAAAGACCACTTATACTGACAGCTCAACTTATAGTGAAACTAATACCAGTACAGACCACTTACACTGACTGCTCAACTTATAGTGAAACTAACACAGGTAAAGACCATTTACACTGACTGCTCAACTTATAGTAAAACTAACACCAGTAAAGACCATTTACACTGACTGCTCAACTTATAGTGAAACTAACACCTGTAAAGACCATTTACACTGACTGCTTAACTTATAGTGAAACTAACACCTGTAAAGACCATTTACACTGACAGCTCAACTTATAGTGAAACTAACACCAGTAAAGACCACTTACACTGACTGCTCAACTTATAGTGAAACTAACACCTGTAAAGACCACTTATACTGACAGCTCAACTTATAGTGAAACTAATACCAGTAAAGACCACTTACACTGACTGCTCAATTTATAGTGAAACTAAGATCAGTAAAGACCATTTACACTGACTGCTCAACTTATAGTGAAACTAACATCGGGAAAGACCATTTACACTGACGGCTCAACTTATAGTGAAACTAACACCTGTAAAGACCATTTACACTGACGGCTCAACTTATAGTGAAACTAACGCCAGTAAAGACCACTTACACTGACTGCTCAACTTATAGTGAAACTAACACCTGTAAAAACCACTTACACTGACTGCTCAACTTATAGTAAAACTAACACTGGTAAAAATCATTTACACTGACAGCTCAACTTATATTGAAACTAACACCAGTAAAGACCACTTATACTGACTGCTCAACTTATAGTGAAACTAACACCAGTAAAGACCATTTACACTGACGGCTCAACTTATAGTGAAACTAATGCCAGTAAAGACCACTTACACTGACTGTTCTTCCTTCTTTTCTTCTTCTTCCTTTTCTGTTAAATTATAATTTTAATACAGTTATTACATGTATCAGCTGGTTTATCTAAACATACACTGAGTGGTCACAAGTAAATAGACACCTAATTTTTCATCATTTAACTGATTTATGCTAACTAATTTGTGTTCACAGAGCATTAAATAAATGAAAATGGTCCGCACACTAATTATCTTGTGCTACAACACACCTAGAACTCAAGGTTCTCTCGAATTGTCAGATTTTGTTAGAGGTAGGATAGTTGGTCAAGCAGATGGTGGATTAAGTCAGCTGCAAATTTCGCAAAATTTGGGAATCCCACTTTTGACAGTCAAAAGAATCATCGTGCAGTTCAGGAAA